AGATTATTTATTTTTATTTAATTTTTATATTCTAAATCTATTTTTTCTATAACTTCGATATATGTTGGAAATTTACTTTGGGTGTCGAGTCGAATATTTGATCAAATTTAGCTTTGTATGAATATTCGTAAGTTTAGGCATCGTAAGTGGAGGTTCTACTGTAAATGTCCCAGGTTTGAGTCATTTGGCCAAACCCAGAGGCCAGAGGTTATGGGGCGGTTGATGAGGCCAACACAGCTGCAGAAACCAGCCCAGCTCTGCTCCACACCTTCTCCTTTTCCTGAGTGGGCTCAGGTTGACAATAAGCTCCAATGCCCACACGGCTCACTGACGTAGGCCCTTTTGTTCAGACGTTCCCATCAGAAATGAAGCTGATATGATGTCAGCTCTGTGAGCTGTTTATTGTTTCTCTTCCCTTTAAATACGTAGACTTGGAGTGAAGAGAGTGTGAAAACTGATGGGCTGCCTTTAGAGTGTTGCTCCAGTGTGGCTAAGGAAGGGCATCACACAGGAATGATCCCATCTGAAAGCCTCTGAGGATGATCCTCGTGTTGTCTCAGAGCTTTTAGCAGGAGGTGAAATGTGCTGTGTGAGCCAGTGGTGACTGCATGTCTTTGTCCTGCCCTGAAAAAGGAGCGTGTGAGGAATGCGGCTGGAAGCGAGCAGGAGAAGCCCAGAAGCTCCACCTCATCCACAGGCTCCACCCCCGGACGGCCTGAGGCCTCGGACACAGGCGGGAGCCCCCGGGAGGAGCACCCTCATAGTCCAGGTCAGCCAGGCTTTTTTAAGGTTTCCCCTGAAAAGAGAGTCTGTAGCTCACTGTTTGAGTTCCCACATCTTTAAAGTAAACCTTCTCAACTCTTGTTGGGCTTCAGAGTCCGGTCTGACCGGCTCTTTTTGGAAAGCGCCGTGAGATAGCTGTTATTGTGATTTGGCGCTATAGAAATTAAATTGAACTGAATTGGGGGGGAAAATGGAATTGAACTCTGTCTCATAAGATGTAGTGTGATTTTACACGTTGTGTTGGATAAAATGAGTACAGAGGGAGAGACGACAGAGAAGAGGGTCCAGCGTCCCACAGCCAGAGGCAGAGGTGGAGCTAAGCAGCTCCAAGCTGCTGCTCACTGGTCTTTGTTTTTTTATCATTGGTGGTGTGTCTGATCTACTCTGCTCCTCCTCCCCTCAGAGCCTCACGTGTGCCTGTTGGACTGCATGGCCCTGGACCTGCAGGAAATGGACATCTTCGCTGCAGAGCACCTGCCCTGTCGTCCCTGGGATGGCGGCGGGCAGCCCGAGTCCTCCGACCTCATCTTTCCCTCATACTCTGTCCGCCGAACCGGAGACAATCTGCTCAAAGACCGCTGCCGCCTGAGGCTCAAAGTGGAGCGCAACCTGGACAGGTACAGCCTGTCTGAACTCACACGCTCTCTTCCACTTTTGCTTGAGTTTACTGTTGTCCAGCTAACAGCCTGAGGGGATCTCAGTTTTCAGAGATTATTCACCTTAGGAAAAAGCCTAGTGAATTTACTCTGCTTTGGCTTGTAAAACTACATTCCTTTTAGAAATTCCACTGTAGGAAATAAAAAATATTCCAACTGCTTTTGCTCCATGAAACCTTGTCCACAGGTTAGTACTTAGCTTCTTCTTTTAAACCGCTAATGTCCCGCTCACACCTTTGAGTCCCTCTCATACAGCAGGTCGAATGGATTTAAGACACATCACAAATTTTGAGGTTTGCACAGATTAAAGACCATAGTCAACTGTTTGGAGGTTAAAAAGGCACGACATATCAGCCCCAACACACCAACAGTGAGGTGTTGAGGTGGGAACATCATGATATGGGCCCGTTGTTCAGCAAGTGGCACTGGTACACCTCATATACACATATATATGTACTTATTAGAATATTTGTGCTGCTTCAGGACGTTTCACCCGCCTGTTAGAACATTGCTGTTCAGGTTTTGTTGTTCCTCTAAACCTGGATGTACGCACATTCATCCTGCCTTCCCGTTGGCAGGGAGCTGAGCCACGCCGTGCCGGACATGTCCATCCACGGCAGCCTGTCCTCGGTGCACTGCTGTCTGGACATGAAGCACTACCAGCTGATCAGAGGCCTGCTGGAGAACAACCTGGGAGAGCCGGTGGAAGAGTTCCTGCGACCCTACAACCTCCAGGACCCCAGCAGCTATGTGAGGATCAGACTGACATGCACACACACCAGCAGGCCACCAAATGCGGGAATCTCCACGGGTCTTTTAAACATGGCTGTTTGTAACTTTTCAAACTGCTGATGGTCCTCCAAAGAGTTCTTTGGTGATCTTCTTTTAACCGTGGAAAGCCCTGCGTGTTCCAGTCTGCCAACTGGTGTTGTCTTTCTCTAGACGGTGTTGAGTGGAGATGTCTTTACCAACCTGTCCTTCCTGGTGGACATGATGGACGTCAGCCTGGAGCTCCTGGACAGCCCAACCCGGTCCGAATGCAGGCGCTCCTTGGCGAGGTGAGCCTCTCTGACTCCACACATTCATTTTCTATGCCTAAAGGAGGTCCCTCATTTTGGAGATATTATGAAAGGAATAGAATAATTTACTTTCATGAGGGGATTGTAAAAATATGGCCTCTTTCTCTGCAGGCATAATTTTTCCTGGGTTCATCTATATAGTAATAATTTCTGTTTCACTGAACAGCATCAAATGAACCAAGTTTAATTCAATATATTTAGATGTTTTATATATTTTTTTTACCAGTTTGTTCAAGTTTTATCTTTCCTGAAATGATAAAAGTTGTATTGTTGTATTAGAAAGAAAGAGAAGCAGAGTGGACATGTTCAGAGCTGATGTCAGATCCCGCCTGTAAGCTGCCAGTGTTTTAACTGTTGACCTGTTCTGCAAAGGTTTGACTTCATGAAGTCGAAGGTGCTCTTTGAGGGTTTCTCCAACGGATCCAAGTCTGTCAACCTGGTGTCTCATTCTCTGCTGGCGCACGACACCCGCTACACGGGCGCCAGGAGGGGCGCCGAGGGCCTCAGGCACAATGTGTTTGACTGCATTCTGCAGCCCTCCAAAACGGGCACCAACCGGGCGTCCCTGCAGCTGGAGCTGCACTACAGGTAGCCCCGAGCAGCCGGGGGGGCGGAGCCTTGTCTGAGCCTTGTCTGAGCCATGTCCCCCCTCTCCTGCAGGTCCACCCGCGAGTCCTCCTGCTTCACCGTGGTGCTCAATAACCTCAGGGTCTTCCTCATCTTCGACTGGCTGCAGCTGGTGCGGGACTTCCTCCACATGCCGGCCGAGAGCGGGGCGGGCGGCGCCGAGGCCCGCCAGCGCTGGCCCAGCGCCGCCGGCGCCGAGCCGGGCCCCGCCGGGGCCCTCATGCCCAAGACGGTGAAGAGCGGAGTGGTGACCAAGAGGTCCACCGTACCGGTCAACCAGGAGCGCTGCCTGGAGGTGAAGATCAATGTGACAGGTGAGAGGGGGAGGACAGCTGGGGGGGAGGCCTCAGGGTGCTAATTATCTGCAAATAATCTAATAATTTTTTAAAAGAAAGAATTAGAGGTTGTAAAACACTTTGAGGTTTTCTACAACCTCTTTACACTTAGGACCACATTGTTGTGGCCCTGTTCCAGATGTGTTTTTGAAGTGGACATAACCCTAACCCTAACCAATTTGAAAGAACAAATATCAAATATGATAAAAACACATTTTTGCGTTTATTTGATTCATATTCGAGACACTTTGATAAGAATAACTATATTGCTAATTTAGGCAGCTACAGAGGAGCATTTGTTTAAAGTTTTTGGTTGGTGTTGTGCCTCTGGATTTTTTTCAATAAAAAACACTGGTCAGGCTCATTAGAGTCCCGGGCTGGCCCGTGGTGACCTCTGTGGGAATGTTTGGTGTGCAGGCACCGAGTTTGTGGTGGTGGAGGACCTGTCCTGCCCGGATACCAACGCCATCATTCTGAAGGGCACCACGGTCCTCACGTACAAGCCCCGTCTGGTGGACCGGCCCTTCTCCGGCAGCCTGGCCGGAGTAGAGGTGATGCTTCCTGCTCCGTAGTAGCTCTGCTCTTTTGGGCAGAGCCCGGTGAGAGAGAGGCCCTGTGCTGAGCCGTGTGTCCCCTGCAGGTGTTCTCCTGCCGGCTGGGCAGCGAGCAGGAGACGGCGCTGTCCATCATCGACCCCGTCAACGTTCAGGTGGACCTGTGTGGGAGCCCCACCTACCAAAGCAGCTCCGGGCTCTTGGATGCCTTCAATGTGGAGGACATCCCGCCGCTGCTGGAGGTAATGTCTCCCAGCGGCATTTCAGTGCCTTTTTCTACACGTTTAGTTTCTCTGAGAGCCATCAGAACTGGGCAGAGCAGGGGGAGCACCCAGGTGTCGTCTCCCAGTCTTACCAGTACAGTAGAACCTCTACATAGGAATATAATTTGTCTAAAACAAATTAAATTCGTATGTTAAATATTGGTATGTTGGTTCAAATATTTCCATCAGAATACACTGTAATTCCTAGAATTGGTTCCAAAAACCTACAATAACTCCTTACTACTATAACCTAAAATATCTTAGTGTATTTATTTCTATTTAATTTGATATTTTACATATTTTCTTCTATGACTTTGACGTCATAGAATGTGGAGGACATCCCGCTAACTTATGTTGAGAATTTACTTCGGGTGTAGAATCGAATATTTTATGGAATTTCACTTTGGATGTTGGAAAATTTGTATGTGTAGGAATTGTAAGTAGAGGTTCTGCTGTACGTTGGGTGAACTGGAGGAGTGA